TTTCTCCTTTTATGATCTTCAATCAATATATAACACTCGCAGCCGAAACTTTTCAATTTCGAGATGTTTACCATACGTCCAAACCAAAGTTCGGCAGGACTTTTATCATCTATAGAGCTCTTTCCTGTTTGATTAATGGTGAACACAGCGTAGTTAATAGCTTTAGCCCAAAGATTTTCGCTTAAGTTCCTGGCATGTAAAACAGATCGAGCTGACTCCACTATGGTGCGCATCTCCCTCTCTTTTCGTCCATTTTGCTGCGGTGTATACGTGTTTGTCCTAGTATGTAAAACTCCAAGCTCCTCCAATAACTCCCTGGTAGTTGAATTTTTGATTTCTGTCCCGTTGTCAGACCTTAGGCTCTTCACTTTTCTTCCAAATTGGTTTTCAACTAGTTTCATGTATTTACTCAATGCTGCAGGGGCTTCATCCTTGGTTCGTAAAAAATAAACAGTTCTAAAATGAGAAAAGTCGTCCTTGAATAGGAGAAAATATCTTGCCTTTCCCAGAGATAAGGTGTCCATTTCACCTAAGTCAACGTGTATAAGATCCAATACTTCCTTCGCTACCTTGTTATTTCTTGGGTGAGAGATATGATGTTGTTTGCCGTAGACACAGCCAATACAAATGTTGTCGTCCCAGTCATCAATATATCTTATATTGTTTCTGTCCAAAATACTCTTGCAGTACTTCACATTCTGATGTGCCAGCCTTTCGTGCCAGACTTTGATTGAGTTGGCTATCATGCACATTCCTGTGACCTCTCTGCGGAACATCATTTGATATAATTCTTCATGTCGTTGTGCTACTACTATTTGCTCCTTTCTATCGGCCGTTTCGATAATTGATGTGTTTGCATTGGCAGTCTGAATAAACCCTTTATCCAACATTTGGGTAACCGAAAATAGATTGAATGATATATTAGGAACATATAAAACATCTTTCAGGGTTGCTGGATACCATTCACTTCCATTAAAAGCCTCGAGTTCGACGTCACCTACTCCGATCCCATTGATTTCTGTGTTGTTCCCAAGTATCACCTTCGTATACTCCTCCAGTGCTTTGTAGTTTGTCAGCCATTCTTTCCTAAAGGTCATGTGCTGTGTGGCAGCACTATCTTGATACCAGATATCCTGTCGATCTCGTCTTGAGTTCCTGTCATTTATTTTCGTTGATGTCAATCCTACAGTGACAAGAGCTCGTCGTTGTCCTTTGATCCTATCTCCTTTGTTTGATTCGTCTGACTTCTCATTTATACATTCCCTTGTGAAATGGCCCTTTTGATTGCAATTGTTATAATTATAAGTTTTCCTACAATACTCCAAATATTTCTGACACGGCTTATTCTTGCAATATTTCTTTATGTGTCCATTTTGTCCGCATTTGAAACATTCGACTCTTGAACTTTTCTGCTGACTTTTGTCCTTGTTACCTTGCGTTTTCTGCTTTGAAATGACAGCATTCTGTGCGATTGATTCCTTCTTGTCATCTTCCTTCAATCTGTCTTCTTCCAGTCGAAGTCGTTCAATTAAGGTGTCAATGTTCTTGTCTGTTGGATTAGCATTATCCCATGACGTCCTGAAGTGGTATAGTTTCGGTGGCAATATTCCGAGCATTCTTGTCATAATCCAGCTTTCCTTAATTGTTTCTCCTTCAGCTTTTAAGTCTTCTGCATATTGTTGAACTGATAAACAATTCTCCACTACAGATTTGCTTGAATCATACTTATAATTAAAAAAATTTCTCTGTAACCCTTCAATTGTGAGATCGGACCTTTTACCATACAAGGTTTCTAATTTGTGTATCATACTATACGCAGAAGTGCAACTTGCAATTTTCTTTGCGATATTACTGCTCACATTTAAACCTATACAAGCTTGAGCGTCTAAATCCTTCTTAATCCACGCTGCGACATCTGCCGCATTATTCACATCTTCAGGTTTAAGAATAATTCCATTCGCGATGTCATATAAATCCTTCGATCTCAATGTAAGATTTAGTTTAAACTTCCATGAAATATAATTAATATTTCCCTGCGAATCTTCTGACAAAGTTTCCATTTGAGATTTTACAATATCAATATTGACAGACTAAATAATTTACTGACTTAATTAGTTCTGTGTCTTATCTAAATACACTTACGGTGATGACGGGTAACAATTCACGATCATTTACGAACACTGACGAAGTTGACCGACGATTGAAGCTCGTCAAAGATGGCGACTGCAGATGATGAACGAAGGTATGGCTGACACGTGTCTCGACACAACTTGCTGTTCTCAATTTATACCTTTTCCTTTCCCTTAGACAAATTCGACTGTCGCGATTCATTCACGGGTCCTGGGTCCATAACCTGTTGTACTTTCGTGTATCCGTGAATGAATCAAGAAAAAAAGGCGGGATTAATCAACAAGAACGTTTTATTGCTTGCGCATATCCAACTTGGATTTTTATACAAAAAAACACAGGTGGCGCTTGACTTAAGCGCGGCCTACAAAAATATGATTAATCCTAACACGCAGCCTGGGGTAAAATGGCAATTTGTCAACCAAAATATCCTCTCCGTTACACTCACTGTTGCCAATCTAAATATTTTGTATCTAGATCTGAGTACTTTTATTGTTGTCTAGATGTTTTCCCTAACATTTATAACATGTGACCTAATGAATTTAGATGGTTTATTTTTTCACAGAATTTATAATAGCATGTAGCTCAGGCATGGCCAACATACGGCCCACGGGCCAGATCTGGCCTGTCTAATGAATTTATGTGGCCTGCGATCAATCTTTCAATATTAGGTATTGAAGTCTAAATAACTCGATGAAAAATCCTGACGCCTAAAAAAAAAAGGTCAACAACTCATTGTGCGTTTAGAGTTAACCCTCTATTACAAATCTTGTAAGTACAGCATAGATTGTTGATAAAGCATGATAATTTAAAAAATGTATCTGTAATCTCTATCTACAATTCAGTCTCTACGGGGTGACACCATAATGAGATCTTGCACCACCTCAAAATCTTCCTAGGGCAGCCTCAGGTTCAGCCCTTGGAAAAAATTTTCTTTCCAATTCGGCCCGGGGCAAAAACTGTTGGCCACCCCTGATGTAGCCTATGAAATCCAGATATTTTTATTTTATTGTTTAGATATTTTGTTTCAATTAGAGTTGGAAACACTGAAATTTACAGCAGCCACATCATTGTGCATGTCCTATCTTAGTTGAGTTCAAATTGGTAGTCAGCATTTGCGATTATTCTGTACGATATATGAAATTAATTTAATCTCCAAAATGCCAAAAAAGAAACTGTGTTTACTGATGAATTTAAAAAAGGATTATCCATTTTTGAAAAAAGTTTATCATCATATTGACAAAGTGAAATGTGAACTGTGCTTTTCAGAATTTTCAGTAACTCGTGGTGGGTGTTCGGACATTAAAAATCACTTGAAATGTGCAAAACATAAGGCAAGCCTAGTAGCAATGGAAGGAACCTCCTCAAATATATTGTCATATTTTAAAGGTACTGATTTTTTTTCTGTTATGAGTATTTTCTCAAAATTGTCCTGGTTTGAGAAAAAATATTATGGTAAGCCTAATTATAATAATAAACTTTAAAAAACATATTTAAAAAATAAATTGTATTTTGTTCCGCTCATCCATTTATGATTTACTTCTTTATGGATCTTTTCATTGAAGCAGGAGGAGGAAAAACATTAATTCATGTTTTTCCTCCTCCTGCTTCAATGAATTGTTTTAGAAATTCCCATTTGTTTTAGAAATAGTACAACTAAAAAAGTTTATAAAAAAATACAGGTACTAAAAATATAAGAACTGATGAGGAATATGACACCTGAAATGCATTTTCTTATAACTAATATCAATAAAGTCTAAATTCATTCCTGTTGTCTCCAACATTTCCCATATGATAAGTCTATAAAAAGCAATACTTTAAGCTTTGAATTTTGAAACTGAAAATAATATTATAGAGTTATATATAATATTATATTATAAACAGCAATTCTCTTCAAAAGAGTGACATAATTACCATATTGAACAAGTGATATCTAAGATGAAAAAATATTTTAAAGAAATGACAATTAAATATGTTTATTTAAAAATAAATGCTACCGTACAATATAAATGTATTAGGAACATTAATATTCAATATTTCTCTGAATTTGCTAAATTCCAGCAATAAAATGACACATTTTTGACAAATATTCTCAAATGTTCTTTAGATGCCAAAAGAGATAAATAATATCATTAAACTAATACCATTTAGAACTTAATAAGAAGTATTTCTAAGAATTTTAATGTTGAATAGGAACAGTTTGTGAAAATAAAATTTAAAATATACCAAATAAAATGTATTTTAAATATATATATTTACTGTAATTATAGATTAACATAGTCATCCTTGCAATACATCATCTCTTTGCTACATTAATAGTTTTGTCATTCCTTTGAAATTCATCTCTGCTTTGCCACACTTTTGATACATCATTCCTTTTATATATCCATTAAAAATATAGTTATAAGAATTTTTTAAAATAATTTATTTGTCATATTAAGATTTAATCTTTTTTCAGATATCATGAGTTTTTGAACTTTGAAAAACTTTTTAAATTTTTTTGTACTGCTGAGATTTAGTAATGCTTAATCCAAAGAGAAAGCTCTATGGAAATTATGAGTGATGCTTCCTTGTGTATTGTGAAAACTAGCCAAATCACACAAAATAAAAAACAATTTTATTATTATTATAAATAATTTTCAGATATTTATTTTTTCTAATTAAATCTTTATCAATAAAATTCTGCTGGCAAAGGCTTACTCAAGAAGTTTTGAACAAATTTGAAACAAACATACTATTATATTTTACTGTCCATACAGTGTTTACAAGACAAGACTGCTTGTTAAAGAATATTTTTTTAAATTAAAATTTTGGACAATTTGAAATAATAATCCTACTTTCTAATTTTAAAATATATTTATTTTACTTTCTAGGTTTTATGAATTAGAAGCCATTCATGGAAAATTAGATCCTCTTGTAAATATCGATTTGTCTCCAAAGAAAACTGCCTGTGTTCATATACGATATCAGGAGTATTGTGAAACACGTGTGATAAATTTACAACATTCAGTTCGTGATCTAAAAGTGCAATTTAGTGAAATATGCAATATATCACCAACAAAAATGAGAGTTTTTTATATTGATAAAGAATTAGTAGGTCATGGACCAGAGGAATTGCGCTACAATACTAAAAAACTGTATACATACATGATACAAGATGGTGATGAATTTCTTGTTGATAGAAAATAAGATTGAAGTAGAAAAAGTATATCAACACAATTTTAATTGTAGTATAAGATTCTGATACAAATCAGTGTTTATTAAACCTAGTAGTAATTTTATTATCTACAAAAAACTACGAGTGCATTTACATTCAGTAATATATATATATATATATATATATAATGTATGTATGTGTGTATATATATATATATTACATAAAATTCTGTAGAATAATATTAGGATTGTTGAAAAGCTAATAGTTTAGCCATTTCTTAAACCATGTTTACAAAAAAGCTAAATACAATGCAATAAAGCTTCCTTTTGTAAGGCGTTCTGATTTAAAATTAGAACAGTTATCTTAAATATGATATTTAAGTATTCAAATACCTGTTTTATAAAAACTGAATACTTAATAATTTATAAGGATGTATGTANTTTGAAAATTCAAAATTTTTGGATCTATATCAGATTTGTTTTCATAACAGTATCTGCAACTTAAGTATCAGAATTGTACTTAATGTTCTATTATTTTATTATATACTGTATTGCTATTTTGTTATGGACTTAATTGATACTTTAAGAGCCATTACTTTTAGTTTTATTGGATGATATTTTCATTCCATATTCATTAGCTAGTTCATTTAGACTAAATATTGATCTTTATAAATCATTCTCAATTTTTCCAATGACTGATCATCTGCAAAAAGCAAGGTTTTTAATTTTAACTTTGACATATGTTTGTGCCTTTTTTATTTGCTTTCATTATTTATTTCTTCTGAGTATATGTTGAATAGAATTTGAGACATTGGGATTTCTGTCATATTCCTCTGTTGATTTTTTACTTTAACAGAGGGAAAGTATGGCAATTGGTCAAAAAACGACACTCCAAGAGTTTTACATTTTTGGACTCCGGGGACCCTAGTGTCAAGAAATGCAAAAAATTTTGGGAGTTTTTTCTGTATGTATGGATGTTAGCTTGTGGGGAGGCACAGTTTTGTTCACTCTCTTTGAAGCTTAATAACTTTGGTGCTTTTTGTTGAAAATTTTGCAGGAAGGTAATTATTAGTGGGATTGATGCTATTAAACTAAAAGTCGGGGGCTGGGGAGATAAAGGGAGTTGTGTGTCATATCTCAAGTAGGGTTGGACTTAATGATGATTTTACTCATTATTAGTGTTTACAACTTTTTATAAAACCCATCCCTACCTTCAAAATTAAAGTTTTTGCCATTTTATAGTAGTTAAAAAAGTTTTTTGATAAAATATAACAGATGGCCCACCAAATATTGCTGGAAAGTTAAGCAACTTGTTGCTGGATTTTTATATAATAGTATTATATAATGATCTTTGTTCTGGACGATTAGCATTTTCCTCCTTTACATAACTACTAAAATTTCTTAACATGCTATTTAATAATTCTATTCTTGTGTATTTGATAAACTTTAAATTTATCCCATCTTCATGAGGGTTCGAGTAGATACATGTAGATGCTTGTCATACATTGGGTTAGTGCATCACTTAACTCTTCTATAGTTATTGCATTTAAATTACTTCATTTGCTGGGTGTTTAGAGGTATTGCTATCCTCTAAACACCCAGTTGTTATCTTTATTCAGCATTAAATCAGAATTTATGTTTCTGATCTAATTATATTGATGATCATTTTATAGATGGAAGGCCTTTTTAGTGTTATGACTCATACTAGTTTTGTTATAAACTGACTAGATTTGGTATAGCCAATGTAGAGCATTCAGCATTTCACCTCTATTTCCATGTTTGTGGCCATCTTTCTTACTGGACTGCTTGAATGTGTCATAGATAAAAAGAGGAATGCCACAATTTAATGATAGATGGAAAATTCCAAAAGCCATACTATTTTATTTTTATGAATTATTATTGTTTACCAATAACTGCATGCTTGATTACATAGCAAGGTGCTTGCTGTCAACCAGAAGGATCGGGATTCCAAAAATTTCATATACAGCGTCATCTGTATGTCTATAACAATAACAGCTAATGAATGGTGGCAACTGTTTATATGTGCACACTACCTTGCATTTGTTCTTGATTAACTTAGTGAGTAGAGATTGTTCGATTCTTGGTAATGTATCAAGCTAAAGTACGACTCCTTTCCGTTTGAAGTTTGCTCCTTATTATCAAGAATCGAACGATCTCTACTCGCTAAGTTAATCAAGAACAAATGCGAGGAAGTAGCAGAAAAAGAAGAAAAAATGTGCACATTCTTAAAATAAACCAGGATTCTAAAGAGAAATTTCTTGGGATTGAAATACAGGACATTTTCCATGAAATCTTGGAATACAGAAATTTCAGTGTTCCAACAAAAACTATCAGGACAATAGGACAGAGTCAAAATATGGAAAAGTCCCATACAATGTGGGATATATGTCTGTTTTATATAAAGTTGTCCCAGTTCTGTTTTTTTGTTTGTTTTCCTAATTTATATTCCTGTTTTTGCAACTGATCCTTTCTTCTCTCTTCATAACAGGCTAATTTGCATTGTATATAGATAAACTGTTGTTATTTCAAAATTGATCAATTTAGAAATAGTAGCAGTTTTGCTTTATCTATTACTTTTAATCACATTTATGTAAACCAAATTTGCATAATTTTTGAGAACAATAAAATTGAAACATTTTTAAAATACAGTAGGACTCTGCTTAATGTGGGAAATGAATGTGTTTCTAGATGACAAAGAACTAAATGAAACAGCGTAAAACAAGGTCATTTTAACATAGAGTAAATAGGGAAAGGAGAACACGACCAAAAATAGACAGTTTTTACTGTCACGAATAGATGCATAGACACTGAGCATTTCTGACATCAATCTTTATTCAGGAATATCCTGTTGGCCGAGACGCGTTTTGGGGATAAACCCCTCTTCTGTTGATATTACTTCTGGGATATCTTGTAAGGTGATGTTAACTGTTATACATCTTGTTTAAAATTACTTATATTTCTCTGATAACATGACTAGATGGCCCCCATAGTAAGATGTTAGCCTACTACTGTGGGAAATTGGATTCAGACCTAGTTCAAACTCCAATAATTTATCATTGGTAACACAGATCAGCACACCATTCTCCATCTGATGAATCTGACTTGAAAAGATTTGCCTATGGATAGTGAACTTGTAGGTCAGGTCCACCTGTAATGGGTGAAACTGTAGCTAACTATATAACTTAATGAGATGGTGCCTCACATTAATTAAATTCAAATAACATAATATTTAATACACATCAAAATAATAGAATGTTTTGGTTGTTGCATATCTGAATACTAAATAATATGGCAACAATTTTTTATTTCAAAATTATTTAGCTAATAAATTCTTATCTTTAAAGTTTATATTCTTATACAGTGGTGCCTCGTACAACGTACTTAATCCGTTCCAGGTGCATGTCCGTTATACGAAACGCATTTTCCCATAGAAATACATGTTAAAACATATAATTCGTTCCGCAGCATAAAATAACCGTACTGTACCATAAAAAATGAAAATGCAGCAGACACCAATTATGCCGGGTAGTCAGATGTTGTGAGGAGGAAGTGGAAGAACACTTTCTTTACACATTCATAGATACAGACTTTTTACACATTGCAGCGGGTCTTTTTTTATTGTTTTTTAATCGGAGTCAGATTCAGGAGAGGCTACAGGAGCTTGCAGGGTCAACTTCTCTTGTTCCATCCTTTGTTTTTTCCCTGCTGGCTTCTTGAAAAACATGACCAAGGTGGTCTGTTTCTCTTTCTTCTTTAACACCTGTCGGAAATGACGGACAAAGGTGTCATCGTAGAGATCATTGATCCTGTTGGCCTCAGCTCTGTTTGGATAATGAGTGTTGGTAAACTCCTGATCCTCTCCCCATTCGACAAGAAAGTTTTTGTCAACTTTCACTCCTGATGATTTCTTGCTTTGTTTCAATTGAAATCACCTTTCTGTTTTTTTAGAAGCCATGATGCATTATAAATGACTTAACTTGCCAGATTATATGATACGAATAATTCTTTATTAATTAAGATCACTAAACACTTCAACGAGCTACTCTCGCTCCGTTTGTTTTTTACAACCTCTTTTCGTCCCGCCACCTCGGCATCTACACAATTACATTTCGTTTATTTGAATCGTCAACATATACTGTATTACATTACATTTAATGTTTATTTAAATCATCAACATATATTACATTACATTTCTACTTCAGATATACTAATAATACATTCTAATAATACTAATATATCCTAAAAATAGCAGATTGTCATTGGCAACGGCAAAAGAGTGGAAACATCATTCGCACTTGTTCGAAGAAAGTCCATTGTTCGTCTCATGTAACTGCCGAACGGAAAGTTCGTTGTTCGCAGCAAGTCCGTTGCTCGAGTCACGTAACGGTCAAACAGAAAGTCCATTATTCGAGGCGTACGTTATACGAGGCACCACTGTATTTGATTAAAAAATTAACTATAAAAATTTTCAAATAAATTTTTTGGCAATTGTGGTTTATAAACAGATAAATATATATAAACACAGCAACATTACCATGTTAATGTTTGTTGTTTCATTTACAAGTTATTTTATAATTATAAAATTAAGTTTTTGTTAAATAATATCTTATTTATTCTTCATTAAACAAAGAATAAAGTAACAAAATAATCACAAAACTAATTACAATATTCCAAAATCATTTTCTAATTTTGCTAAAAAACAAATTTTTTACATAAATTTTTGTATAAATACAAGAAAAATATTTTTCATTTTGAACAGGATTAACAGAATAATTTAGACATTGTAGTATCTTATTGTCTGTAATAATTAAACTGGTTATTAAACAAGTAGTTTGTAAAAACTTATTCAAGACCATAATTTCTCTCAAATATATCTCTTCATCATCATCATCATCCTTTCCATGTTCTTAAACTAAGTGATCTGTTCCAGACTCTTGCCATCTGTTTTATTTTTGGCTGTTTTTTCTCTCATCTTCCTAATGGATGATAACTTGGGATTCTCTATCCAGGCACATGGGCAGAGAAGAGGCTCCTGGGGCTATAGCTACCTTAAAATTTTGGTCTTCTGAAATTCAGAGATAGCTTTAACACCATGAGCCCCCACTCTGCCTACTGAAAGTTAGCCTTCTGCAGTAGCAAAATGACAGCTGAAGCAGTTAAGGTTCAATCATGGTGACTGTAAAATAGAGTTCAAGCGGTGGCGTGCCGTGATATTTGATGATAGGGAAGCTGTGTTTCAGTAAGAAGCCAACATCCAGGGCAATCAGTTAATTGCATGTCAGCGATGGTCTAGGGTCCATGGTAATGCTCTAGCGGGGCTGGGACATGTACCAAGTACTTAAATAAAAAAAATGAATGAATGAA